GAATGAGGCCATAAAGGTTGGGATGGGGGTGTCATTCATCTGGCTGCGCTGTGTACATGGATTCAGGTGAAAACACCCCATACCTGTGTTGTTATGACCCTAGGATGCAGTTCAAAGGAGATCTATGAGAAAGTTCATGAGCAGAAGTACCAGGAGCCTGTGGGAGAAGATTGCCCAATCTACTTGCGCGACATCATCAACCGGTGTCGGGACTTTGAGCCTTCCAAGCGCCCATCTGCTGAAGGTACTGTGGAAGGAGGCCCCATTGCTCATTGTCTTGACCGAGGTGGCTATAGGGGTCCAATCAATGGCACCCTCTCCTTCCCTGTAAGAAAAGCCAGCAAAGGGAGTCCCTTTGTCAGCTTACTGGGAACACCAAGCTGCAAATTAGAAAAATTGTAGAGATAAAGTGATCTTCATTGTTTGGAATGTTTTATTCTGAAAATTGCCCCCCCCACTTTTTTTTGCAGAGATTGTGAATCGACTCCTTATTGACCAAGATCACCAGAATGACTCCGTGGCTGTATGAGAGGGCATCTAGCATGTCCCTGTAGAAGGTGCTAAGTTGTTCTCGGCAAAAGCTATGGGGTTACCTGATTCAAGGGCCCAGACCCTGTTGCATTTGCACAAAATGCTAAGCCAAGATTTGCTCTGTCCCCCCCTTTTAAAAAAACAAACACATAAGCCAGAGTCAGTCTCACAACAAATGATGTGATTGTGATTTGTTTGATTCCATACTGGTTTGGTTTCCCTCTGCATCTCTTCTGCCAGTACCTGGGTGGTTTTCCAAATACCCTAGCAGCTGAAAAGACCGGCACAGCTTCAAGTCCTCACCCGCCGTCTCACACTTGCCTGGCAGAAGAATCGGGGCTTGGAAATCTTTCTGGCATCTGGGGATTTTATTACATCCAACACTTCTGGGTTTTCTCCAATGAGGGCTCATTAGATTGTCACTTTTGGTTATGCCTAATAAAAATATTTTCCAATTATTATGGTTTCTATTTGTTCCAATTAGTACACATGGTATCCTTCATTTATGGTTTGTTTAAAAAAGAGAAGAGACATTAGGTATGCATCTTGAAAACAAATAACAATTATAAATACACACTCTGTATTTATAACCGCATGAATCATGTAGGCTTCTGTTTTTTTAAAGAATCAAATACATTTGTATAGGCTCAGCTGGTGTGGTCACTTGAGCGAACGCAATGGGCAACGAGAGGATTCCTCTCCCAGCTTCCTATCTGGGAGAGACACAAACCAAAGGGTTACTTGTGGGGTTTTCAGTTCCCCTCAACTGAGCACCCATTTGTGGAACCAAAGGGTTACTTGTGGGGTTGTCAGTTCCCCTCAACCGAGCACCCCTTTCTCTTCGAATCATTCTCCCTACAAAAGCTTGGAGCCAGCACTTGTGTCGAATCATTCCCCCTACAAAAGCTTGGAGCCAGCACTTGTGCGCTAGAGAAGCTAGCAATCAAAGAGAGGGACATTCTGTCAGCGACTTGTCAAAAGCAATCGAAAAGAGCCCAATTAGTCATTGCAGTTGTCAATCTACAGACAGAAGAGTTGGAACACTTGAAAGATGAACAGATTTATTTTAGGGTGCACTTCTGCAAATTACATGCACTCACAACTGACATACATCTGCTTGTCTTCAAAATTGAAGAACAACTTTGTTGTTATTTTGGTTATACATGCGGGAAATCCACAAGATTAACCCTAACCCTAACCCTGTTATGCTTCCTTCACCATGTACAACCCAAGCAAGCCCAATCCTGCAGGGTTTTTAGGGGTAACAGGTTGATTTCAGTGTGAGCTTTCATGGATCACATGCCGCATCTTCAGGCACAATATCATAGTTTGATGATTAAATTTTAATCAGTCAATACAAATGAAATAATGACATTTAATAATAGTGATTAGCAATAATCATTTTATCTTTTATTGTATTTTAATCGAATTTTAATTGTTGTAAGCTGCCCAGATACCTTTGGGTAGAGAGGGCGGCATGTAAGTTAAACAAACAAACAAACAAACAAACAAACAAATAAATAAATAAATAAGGTGTTCCTTCTTTGACTTGTCTGATATATAGCTTCTTGTTTTGTAGACTAAATTCATAAGTCTAACTTTATTTCCTTTTATCTCTACCTTGCCTTAGTCATTTCACTATAGCAAGGA